TGAAAATTGAAAGGACTCAAGCATATGTTTTCTGCCTGTCAATGTACATCACATAGAAATGGATAAACACGAGGACCAAAGGCATGCTTTAGTTGGTTAATTAAGATGCAGTGTTGGAAAAGCTTGTATCTAATGGAAACCATGTATCAAGTTCAAATTTTTAAAAGGGAAAAATGCTTCCAGCCCCCAAAACCAAAGAAAACGTGCTTCCCCACCCGCCCAAGACTTTTACAACGGGTGTTTTGCCCCCAAAATTCGTCGCGATTTTCTTCTAGCCCCAAAAACGAATCCCCAGGCGAAACGTCATTTAAACCCCTCACGAAATGCCCAAAATACCCCTAGACAGCCTGTAACCGTTGCCCTCTCACGTCGGAAATATGACGTTGATATTGTAGCATTAAATGGTGATTAGAATGCTTTTTTTAGGGGAGGACTTCTCATTTCTCTCCAAATTCTCACCATATCTATTCCCCTTCCCGCTGTAATAAAATCGTTGAGTTTCTCCCCATTCTATTACCCCAACTACTATGTTCCTTCCACTTAATTCTTCGCAATAAAATCCTCTTTGGTTCTTCAACTACTCCCTGTAATAAAATAACGGATGGATCTCTTCTTTGTGTGGTAACAAAGGCAAAAAGCAACAAAGATGGTGACGGTGTATTCATTGTTATCAAAGAGAATACAGAAATAATCAACTTGAAATAATCAAGTGTCAGAAAGGCTTAAAATACCAATGCAATCTCTTTCACTGAAGTTCATATGCGAAAGAGAAAAGAAATTCAGTATTTCAATTGACAATGACGATGACTTAAATTTGATGTTCGAGTATTGTCGTCGTAATCGTTTTACAGACGCGAATTTGTATGCTACCTCCGTCGAGGAATCCTCAACTTCGCAGAACATGCAGACTACGTCAGAAAATGCGTAGGCATTACACTTCAGATTTCCTTATGAGTTCACTGATAGGTTTTGCCACTAGTAGTTAACCATATGCATTGATTGTTGAGGTTAAGAGTTGGTTGTCAAGGTTAGGTTAAGGACTGATTGTTAAGGTTTGGGTTGTTTGGCTCATTTTATGAAATAGGTTTAAGATTTTTTTTAAGGTTATGAATTCGCTGTTACGTATACTAGTTGGTTGCTATGGTTAGGTGTTTGTTGTTGGCTGTTGAGTTTATGAGTTGGCTATTAAGGTTAGGAGTTCGTTGTTGAGGCTATGTAATTTTTTACTTCTTCAGGACCATACCGACAAAAAATTTATGATGCGCAGATACTACGTTCACCTATACCTGTAATGATGAGCGTATTTCTAATAACAACCCTACCGGTGACTCGATCATGCTGTTGGAAGACATGAGTAACCACCAAACAAAGATCCTAACTGAGTGGCTGACCACTATACGTGAAGTTAGTCAGAAATTTGATAGTGATGCTGAAGTTAGATTAACACTTTAATATTATTCAATTGCTAAAAGGTTCGAGTATGATTTTTACCACAATGAACAAAGACGCATAAGAATCTATTGCCGATTCAAACACACGCATGGTTGCCCTTGGATGTTGTTTGCTTTCCCGCTCAGAAATTCGTCGATCATGTCCATAAAGAATTTTGAATCTATCCACACCTGCGGTCAACATGGATCAAATGCTGGAAACTCAAGTGCATCAAGGAAGTTCATTGCTAGCCAAATACAAGTTGTTTTGAATGTTAGGTCAAATCTTCGTACAGTTGATATCAAGAACGATATACTCTCCAATTTTGACATCAAGATTAACTACAGTAAAGCATGGTGGGGCAAGGAGACAGCTTAATAGGACCTGTTCGGTGACGATGATAAGACTTACAATTCACTGAGATGGTATATTCTTTTTTATTCTTCTGAAATTACTCTTACGTATTGGTTGCTAACTATATGTATTAGTTATTAAAGTTATTGGTTCGTTGTTAAGTATACGTGTTGGTTGTTAAGGTTAAAGATCAGTTATGATTATGAATCAGTTGCTAAGGATATTGCTTTGTTATATTCATGCAGGTATGAATCCATGGTGTATGCAACTAATCCAGGGAGTTGTGTTGTTATTGATGCTGATGACAGGAGGTTCAAGCGATTGTTCATTAGTTATAATGCCTGTATTGAAGGGTTCATTGCTGGGCGTAAGCTTCTATTATTTTTTAATGGAACATTTATTAAAGAACGCTACAGAGACATACTACTTAGTGCCACTGGGTATGATAGCAACCAGGGAATATTTTCCCTTGCTTATTACGTATGCCACCAGGAGCATGAGGCTAACTGAAAATAATTTTTACAAAGATTGTAGACGTTACTGTATGATAGGGAAAATCCTTACCAACCTCCACATTGTCTGGTAATGATTTCTGACGCTGACAAGGGTATTAGGACAGCAGTCGAGGAATTCTTTCCAGATGCTTTCCATTCAAGGTGTGTTCTGCATCTAGTCGAGAATTTTAAAAAGGAGATGAAGGATTTTGAGCACAAGGCAAATGTCACCACTATGTTGGGCGAGCTGTTACAATCTGCGGCTTATAAGTACATAATTTCTGAATAGGATGATGATATGAAAGAATTGGCAGCGATCGATCACAGGGCTTACGTCACTGCAATGGAATACTCCCCGGAGAGATGAGCAAACGCGTATTTTCCTGATATAAGGTAAGATAGCTTGGTTTAAACGTTATTTTATTACAGCACTATTATAGTTGTTTTAGTTAGAGTTAGCCTACAGTTTTTCTGTTAATGTTAGAGTTTTATTATTAATGTTAGAGTTTTATTGTTATGGTTAGAATTTTTCTGCTAGGGTTTTGTTGTTAAGTTTAGCATTTTGTTGTTAAGGTGAGGAATTTATTGTTTAGGTTATGAATTTATTGTTAATATTAGGGTTTTGTTGTTAAGGTATGACCATATTACTTTAAACGTTACTGAGTCCTTCAATAGCTGGATAAGAAAGGCACGATTGTTATGAATCTTACCTTTGATTAAGACTATACGGAAGCAAATAATGGAGCGCATGCATGAAATGAGACTAATAGGTCAGAAATGGTCTGGATACTTATGCCCGGAAGCGAAGATGGTGCTGTGCGAAAATATTCAGCATGGTAGTTGCTTGGTCATTAAACATTCGATGGAAGATATTATGGAGGTCGAGTCCAATAAAACTTGTCGTGTAGATTCAAAGCCCTTGAAAACGTAAGAGGAGCATCTTCGTCATCAGTTGTAGTGCCAGGTGCTGGTGGAGGGACACCCTCTGATGGCTTTATTTTTCTCCTAATGTCCTCTCTTATAGTGGTTGTTTCTAAACAAACCATTCGAAGTATAAATATTGAGAAAACCTAACAATCGCTATCAAAACTTAATAATCAATTCGTAAGCTTAACAACTGATGCCTAAACATATGGTGAAAAAGGAGCTAACCTATACAAGTTTGCATCTCCGTATCATGTCCTAGTGAAGGAACATCATCCACCAGTATTATTTCCCTCCCAGTGTCCTCGCGTTGAGTGTCTGTTTCTAAAAATATTCAAAGTATAAATAATAAAAAACTTAACAACCAATACGTAGACATAACAACCAATCTCTAACATATAGTGCAAAATCGAGCTAACATGTACAAGTTAGCAACTCCTTCGCTGGATTGGACACCTTCTCTCCCTCGTTTATTTCTTCTTCAAAGTCATATCAATGCGGGTGTTATCTGGTGGAGCTACTTCCTCTGGCGGAGCATCTTCACTCTTCTTATTAATATCAGAAAAAAATTATGGTGAAGGGGCTCTCCCTGTTGGAGGGACCTCGCTTTCCTTATTAGCTTCAGCAAAGAATGATTGATTAACTCCCCCCTCGTACTGTATATCAATGCCACCCACGATGCGTGGAGTATCTGATTCAAAAAATAAACAAATGACCTTAGGTACTTTATTATCAAAAAAACTTAGCATCAGTTATATAACATTAACAACTAACCCATATACTTAACAATCAATCTCTAACCTTAGCAATAAATCCGTAACCTTAACATTAAATCTGTAAAGTTAATAATAAATTCGTAACCTTAACAAACAATCCATATACTTAACAATCAATCTTTAACCATAAGTCCATAACACTCAAACGTAATTGCAAGCCACATCTAACATGTACAAGTTTGCGGCTCCATCGTTGGACCGGACACCAATCATATAGGCCTCTTATCCTTGTATACAGTGAGGGTTCTGGATTGTGCTTCGCTGAGTTCCTCTCTCAGCCTCTTATTTTGGGCAGATAGTTGAGCCACTTTCACAGAAAGATCGTTTATCTTTACACGATCTGTAGCAATTAGATTCTTGAATTTATTCTCGTTATCGTGTCGTAATGCTTGGTTCATTGACGCGATGCTCTTCTAGTAGATCACTTGCTGAGACCATTCTGTTTTCTCAACTGCCTCATTTAGCTGCTCGACGTCTTCATCAGCATCTTATGACATCACCTATATAATGGACAGATAGAGTATTATTAAAAGAATTAATTAATTAAAAAATAAATAAAATTCATAACTGGTAAATTCTTACAACTGCATTAATTTGGGATGTCATCTTCGTCTCCCCTCTTCTTCTTGTGGAGAGGGTGTCTTGGGCCACGCGTCCTGCTAACGTTTACTGCAGTCGGTTCCTTAATCCTCCTCTTCTCTCTCTCTCATCTTCTCTTTCTCCTTCCCCTGCTCCTTCCCCCACAAACCTCCCTCGATTCTTTGAGATTAGCCATGTTGTTTTGGAAGCTTTATCGTAGTTTTGTTTGCTTTAGCTACAACAGTGGTCAATCTTAAAGAACCAGCAACTTCTCCTAGTCTCACCCAATTTGTGAGAGGAGGCATCACCGTACATTCAACTGCTGGCTTCTTGATACCAGTAAGTTCATAGTACCACAGCTGCACATTAGAGAAATAAAAACTTAACAAACACATTTATCCTTAACAATTAATAAGTAACCCTAAAAATAAAAAAGTAACCTGAACAACCAAACACGTAATATTGATAACCAAATTGTAACATTAACAACTAAACCCTAACCTTCACAATCAGTAATAAAAGACATGATTACTTACACAAACTAACGGGGTACACCCTTGCAGATATAAAACCGTCTTCCCTAGCTCAGGACCCTTTAGTGCCCTCTCTATAGCGTCAGATATCTCACTGAATATATAGGTCCCCCAAGCAGTGTTATTGGCCTGTTAGATGCTGTCGACGTACTTGAATAAATGCCTAGGAATGTCGGGAACATTGCTTGGACACCAAATCATGCTCAGCTGATAGAGGATCTGTAGCAGGACAAAGTCCTTCATATCTCGACGATCAGCCGATAGTGTCAGCTTCAGGAGCAGTTGCTCCACATTGCGTCTGGTTGGGCCTCCTTTGGGGGGAGCTATACTGCTGTCATCCTCGACCTCGGGTTTGTTAAAAAAAACCTGGACCAAATCCTATTTTTCCTATTCCGATTGTGGTCAACAAGATCCCTCTCATTGGAAAACTATGTATGTTCCATTACCCACTCAATGTTGAATGAGCAGGCGATCTCTTCTCCAACATTCCTATCGGTGAAGACGAATTTCTTCCTTTTCTCATCCCACTGACCCAAAATGTGCTCAAATGTGGGAAGATCGTCACCAGTAGGCCAAAATGGACGTAGTGTCTGAATACGCTATCTTCATATGCCGCAAAGTACATTGGCTCCATACGCTACACCAAATTTCGTGTGAACTCATGATAGGCATTGAAGCTGGAGGTGGGCCGCAATGTAATAGTTGGCTTGACCCTTTTTCTACATAACAAAACCACAAGACATAAGGGACAGTTTAAATTGAAGGGTATTTTGGGCATTTTGTGAGGGGTTTAAACGGCGTTTCGCCTGAGATTCGTTTTGGGGGCTGGAAGAAAATCGCAGTGCATTTTGGGAGCAAAGCACCATTTGAAAAAGTCTTATGGAGGGAAGCACGTTTTCTTTGGTTTTGGGGGCTGGAAGCATTTTTCTTTTTTTTAAAGGACACGGTGGGTTAAGAAATCTCAGTGAAACTAATGAATCAACAGCATACATTGAGACATTTCCATAGGCCCAGCCCCTTAATGTATATTATAAAATGAAACCAACATTTTGTAGCCACAAGAAATACATATATGATAATAACATTTTGTAGACATAGAAATTGGAACAGATAAACATTTCATAACAGTTGAATTAGACCTATTGTATAAAAAGCTATTATAATTATAGTATCTGACTAAATTTAGGCTAGCATTCCTCCCACAAATAATAAGATAAGAACATACCGCATCGGACATGTCAAAGTGAAGTTTTGTAACTGAATCACCTCTGCCAAGTTCATTAAGGTTTCCATATGCTATGTAAGACTTAGGTCCAAGGTCTGGCTTCAAGTAACCATCGGGAACATTTGCAGCAAGATTGAGACTAGATGACTTTGGATGAGTATAGTCCTGATATGGTAGTGCTGCAATAAATTCAGCAAAATGTCTTGGTAAACGCTCTTCAAAAGTACATGATGGAGGCCAGTCTTTCAGCTTTAGCATCTCAGGCCACCCACTCTTATACATTCGACCCTCCAAGTAGCCTCTAAAAAACTCATGGGTATCAATTTCAACCTAAGAAACAATATATGAATCAGGTGTATCAGTTTAAGACATTAGGCATTAACATAAACATAGTTGAAAGAGAAAATGAAATAAGCAATAAAGGAGTCCAATAGAACCTACTTAGTAAACAGTAATTAAACTATCATCTTCAAAATTTAAATAAGGAAAAAATGGAGCAAGGAAAAGAGATACTGTGAGGATAAGAAATGTGTGCAGATTAATACTAGGATAGAGTAGTTTTGGTCGCATTAACACAATGAAGAAAAGGAATTGTGATAGTAAGAATACAAAATGAAATGAGTGAATTGTGTAGTATTTAATATCAGAAGAAAATAGCATAGTCAAACGGTTGCATTGAGCCTTCAGTCATTTTCTGAAGAAAATATCTGTTGGAGATTAAGGCTTATGTTTTCTAGCATCCTCCAAAATTGAAATTGTAAGCATTTAGTTTACGCTAAGCCTACAATAAAGTTTAGTCAGTTTCCTTTTTTTACAATCTCTTCTCAAAAGTTAGAAGATAAACTCAACAGTTTCTCTTCCATCTCGAAGTTTTAAAAAAAAAACTTGAAGATGGATTCTCAGCATGCTTCACGCACGAAGATAACTGGCTTTGCTGTTTTAACAAAGATGAATGTTCCAAGACTTGAGGAAAGCTCATCATAAGCAAGATACACACAATAGCGCCTAATGGAAGGCTAGAGACCTAAGGTTAAAGTGAATATATTTTATGGGTAAAAATGATGAAGCACTTCTAGTCTTTGTAGTGATGTTTATGGATAAGTTCCGCAAAAGAGAAAAAAAATGAAACTTTTCTGAATATAAGGCTGACGCCTTCCACCACATCTACTTTGGGAAGAAGCCCTGTTCCAAAATGTTGATTGAAGAAACCCTTGCTTGTAAGTTTGTAACTTTCCTCTCACAAATCCCATGCTTCGCAAACTGTCGTTAAGGTCCCCATTGTTAAGTTAACCTTTTCTCAAAACAACCATATTGGACCTATGGTATCCCCTTCCTTTTCGCTTGACTTTCCAAAATACCCACGCCGTCTGCTAGAGCCTTTTTAGATTATTGTCGCACAATAGAGCTTTTTCTCGCTACCATATTGTTCTTTTAATGCTCCCTTCTTCCTCAGTCCTCACTTCTCCCAAAAAATTTTAGGTCGCGCTTTAAGTCATTGTCACATAAAAGAATTTGAATAAGGACACTACTGTTATGAATACCCTTCCTGCCCCCACCCAACACAGACGAACAATCGCACACAGACACACACCAAATAGAAGAAGCAGAAGAACCATCTCAAGATTTCTTTTCTGAGCCTTGCAGTTATGGATAATTATCCAGTTAATGCAAAATAGAACAATTGACATAGAAAAGAATTCTACTTTTGAGATTTATCTTTCTAGACCTAGGAGGGAGAGAGAAATTAGGCATATTGGATTTTGTTGCATGGAAAAAAAACAAGAATTAAAATTCAGAGCAAACAAGAGGATATGTAAGTTATTAACCCAATAAAGGAAAACAAAACAGCAAAGGCTCACCTCACAACAATTCAAGCAGTCAATGGCTCTTACAACATCACTTTCCTCCTTGAATTTATCAGCATTTGTCTCTCTAATAGCTCTCCACATTACCATCGGCTCCCAACTTAGGCCGGATGTATTTTCAAGGACAGATCTTACTATGACTGGCTCCCCTTTTGCCCAGTGCCATTGGAAATGTTCCAGCTTACTATCTCCCAAGTCAACAGCGCTTGGACAGTACAAAAAGTTATCATGACTATTTTCACGAGATGCAGCTTTCCGCAAATTAGGATTACTTAAGTTATCCTCCTTAGATGATTGATTGCCTGAAGGACATGCTGAACAGTGGACAGAAAGATCTTCCTCCACAAAATGGTGTATTTTTGCTAAACGTTCAGCTTTTTTAAGCATATTGTTCAGACAATAATCTTTAAGATTTCTCTTCAACAGTAACAATCCATCTCCACAACCGCCACAATTTTTTGTTGGGCATGGAAGGCTACCATCACCATTCACTCTCCATTCCCGGATAGAGCTACAAGATCCAATAAACTGCTCATCTTCATCAAGCATATTTTGGCGCTCCCAACTAAATCTCATCCTCTGGAAGGACGTTTGGTCATATGCATTCATGTTGCAACCTTGGCCTACCATTGTCAACTTCTCATAGAAATAATATGCTTCCTTGCCACCACCGGGCAGATGACCTTCTCGGAGCTCTCGACAGCATGCTAGACAAAGATCATAGGAACAATTTGTACAGCTTCTATGGAAGTCTATTATCGATGTGTAGCAATTATTACTGTGGAACAAGGCAGTTGATATGTGTCAAGACATGGTTAAGTGGGAACAAGAAAGAAAAGAGTAAAGAGTAAGCGAGCAAATGAACTATCTATAGCAATCTAGCAGTACTTCTAAATAAGAGAAATGAGAAATGCAATTGTCTCTGGTACTTCTGGAAATGGCAAGAATCTTGCGCAAAGACATAGGTAAAAGAATATCCTGTCGAAGCCTCAAATAAAGAAGCAAGTTCCAATACATATTGCTAGCATGAATACAAATATCATATAGGTCAGCTTACCAAGGTTTTAGAAATATTTCATAGTTTTTTGGCTTTCTTTTGCCAATGGAGGACTCTGTTGAGTGAAAAACTGAAAATAATTTTGCAGCATAAAGACATAATTCAGAAGTAAGCATTTGTCCTTTAAGAACAAGCACAAAAGATCTGACTGCATAAGGGATGGTGATAGAAATAAGACAATAGTATTAATTTTCTTCTTTTACAAATCCGGTACTCCAATTCACTTGCAGCAAGAAAAGGCCTGGTTTAATGCTTTACCATCTCCATGCATATTTTTTCTAGGTGTGCCCAATTGTTGATCCTAGGTACTATTTGTGTGCTACCATGGGAATAGCTTTGAATCCTAACCCAACACCATTAACAACATTAGTGAAGATGCTAGTAAGGCCCGGGTCACTGGCAGGTATGGGGTTGGGCTATGGGAAGTCCTGAGTTCAAATCATGGACAAGTCTTCGTTCAAAGGAAGGAGAAAGCGTAATGGACAAAGTGCAAAGATATAAGTGCTCATGCCATTGAGGTTAATATGATATCCCCATACAAACATTCATGGATCTACATAGGAGGAAGTGGTGTCACGTGACACCACTTCCTCCAAGGATAACTGATAATGATGAAACCTTTATAGGTATTAAGTGGGATAAAATATTGCCTTCGATGGTGCAAATAGATTTCATACCTACTTATTAAGATTCGTATTTTTATAGCACTTATTACCTCAAACATGAATCAACAACTTATCATTGTCATACCTCAAAAATATATAGAAACAACTTACCATTTTCAAGCCTCCACCATGGTAAGTCGTTGACTATCTCGTAAGATCTATGATCTTATACCCCTTATTATCAATTTAAACAATGGTAAGTTATCAAAATTTTCTATTCATATCCATTAAAAAATTATTCTATTCACATGAATCTTTTCACATTGTGTACTATTTATTACCTCAAACATTGGCTAAAAAGATTCAATGTGTGACTATAAAATCATGAAGATTTTTAAATATAAATCATTTAGTTTTTATTATTTAATTATTAATTATGTGGTGACACCACTTTCCGGATTTAGAAATCCTGGTTCTTTCACTGCATACAAAAGTGAGCTAGAAGCTGATAAATGACGTGCTTTCTTCTACAACTCTAAAATAAAAACTTCACAGATTTCCATGCATGATGTTTTCATTTGAAGATCTATATTGACCACCAGAAAGCCAACAGGAATCTAGAAAAATAACATCACCTTATCTTCTTGTAGAATTTCAATATCGTATCATCTATATAAACTGCTGCCTAAACAACATTATATCATCCAAAAAGATGAGTGAGGTTCCTTTTAACTAACAAGAAGTCAGCCCTAGTAGATTGGACAACACGAAGATGAATAATCAGAATAGTTCAGCATATGCCCTTATTTCATATGGACATCAATCAGTGACTTTTTTTTGGTAAAGGACAGACAGAAGCATGTATTTGGTTCATAAACATGATCAAGGAAATTGAAGCACTAAGAATGACGAAAACAAAATTCAAATATATGAAAACAATGGTACGTGCCTAGTATCAAAAAGAAAAAGTATATACACATATATTAAGATAAGCACCATTGCTGCAGAAATTTTGGAGTCTAAAAGTTTTTCGTATAAAGGCATTGCCTTCTTTGAGTGATTTTATTTCCAGGAACAAGCATATCTTAGTTGCATCACATAACTTCCAGACCATGAGTCAGAAAGATCAACCAGAAAGAAAAATATACCAATAAATACGCTCATCCTTCCCAAGCCCAGTTAGTGGTATCTCTCCAGGAGTCACTGCAGTGCCTAAAGCAAAAGTTGAAAACCAGGAAAATGTAAGGGAGCAACAAAATGACAAATCTACCTAACATGTAAAATTGTAAGTTTTAAAGAAGAGGGCCCCGTCGGAGTAACCTCGAATTATCATTTCCATCTCTAGTTCCAAATTCTGTTCCTTGTGAATTTGCCTAAGTACAGGAAGAACCTTGCGAATCAAGTAGAGCTTCTGCTTTAGTTTTGTGTTGACATCAGCTTCATGTCCGTAATTCTGCCACAATTTCCAATTTCTTTCTGAATAAGAAGTCCACAAGTCAAGGATGATTGAACAAAAGACAAGGAAAAAAATAAGTACCATGCAGATATTTGATTTGTGCAAGCACTGGGTGCAATTACAGTTCCCTCGACAAACTGGACAGGCAATTTTAATATCTTCCATGTTTTGTTTGGGATACCTGTCAAAGATTACATAAATATCATACAATGAAGGCGTAACATAGAACAAACTTCAAATAACATTATCTGAGAAAAGAGAAAATAAAATAAAATAAAAAATTATATAACATTTTACAAACATATAGATATAACTAATTTTAAAAGAACAAAAATTCACTTACCATGTGGTAATGCAGGTTGTGCAATACCGCTTGCATCGACAATTAGAACAAAGAACAATGTCACACTTAAAACTGCGTAAACATTGGTGGCACGACAATCCTCCTTTTGCCTTGTGCTTAATGATATGATCCAAAAAAATCTTGTTAGAAATATAATATAATAGTTTGTAATGAGCTGCATAATGATGCCAATAAACTGCAGTGTGAAACAAGATATAGATTCTTACTATATTAAAGAAAATAAAATACTGGAAACCAAGGTAAAATAATCCAGAGTCCCAGACAATAAAAGAGCAAACTGATCATGTTGCATGTTTGACTTTTACAGCAAGTTAGAAAAACTAGTCGGCATAGTCAATAATATACCGTTGAAGAAGAAAAGGCACATTAAACATGAGGTGAATAGTAATTACAAGAACCAAGTTTCTCATTCAAATGCCTTCCAAAACATATTATGCTGATGAAAATTTAAACTTACCACTGGCTTAGTACTTGGAACTTCCTTCCCCAAATCATCAACTTTTTGGTGGTCGAGATACCTCTTCTTCTCATTACATATGCTTGCCCCATTTAGTCTGTCCTCTCTCTTTTCTTTCTCCTTATTAAGTAACTGCTTCTTTTCCTAACCCCACCCCCACCCCCATCCCCCACCCCAAAAAAAAAAGAATGCTTACTGAGTCCACTTTATGGACAAAAAACTTTCCAAATCCGTCGGGTCAATAAAAAAACTATTACTATTTTATAACAAGCAACTCCCAATTCAGGCAAAATCTGAAAGGTAAGACGAATTGTTACTTTCAACTTTGAACATTACATTTACGGACAGAACTTTATAGCTAGCATCTGTGTGTGCTGTAGAAACAAATCCAAAGAAATTACTTGCTCATCTAAAAATACAAGGATGCATGTTAATATATGCATGTATACGTTGGTATATATATTTAAATATCAATATCGCCAGATACCATGAGAAATCAGTAAGAATCTTTACTTGTTAGCAATAGCAGAACATACACATCTTCTCAACAGGTCATGTTCATTTTGAACTAAGCTATATACTGTTAGATCAGTCAATTACACAGTTAGCACTAAGCTACATAATACTAGTTCTCATAAGATTGCCAAGAGATAACGCAAATTAACAGAGAGAATTTGGAAGCAGAGAGAATTGTGGCTCACTACGTATGCACCAGAGCTCATCGATCTGCGAAAATCCAATCTCTCAGAGTCCTCCAAGATCCAGTCACCCAACAGCCAATTCTCCACCCCCATCCTGATCAAGAACCCTAGATTTCTCTCCCCCTCGGCCAGAACCCCATTGATCAAATACTTGCCTTCGGTACCGTTACCAGCATCGGATTCATAAAAATCTCGCCTTTTCTTCAGTCGCCCCCACGCCCACCAATCCTCATCGCCAGTATAACCTCTCTTCCTCCTCCTTTTCCTCCCCCACCCTTTAATTCTCGATTCGAAACCCATCATCGCGCTCTCCCTCGACCAAATTCTACAGCGAGAATCTCAGATGAAGGGAAACGGGGAATATATAAAGGAGACTTTTTTTTTTGGCCCCCCACCTCTCTAAATTTACCTTGTTCCTTTCGTTTATTAGATTTGGGGGGCGTTTTTTTTTTTTTTTAACTTTATAACCTTTTCTTCCCGCGTAACAAGTGCCCTTGACCCTTGGCACGTGCTGGTCCCAAGGTAAGTCAACCTGGGTGTTGACGGAGAATTCGTCGCCTCTCAATCCGTTGTGGCAAAATTGTGGGCGGAACGAAGGAGACGGGCAAAAATAAAAAATGAAAAATAAATTTTATGAAAGGTATCTACAGAAAATTAGGATCAATTTTAAATTGTACTATATAAACGATATATAATGTCACTACAAATAGAAAAATTAGCGTGCACAATTAAAAATCAGATCACGCGAAATAATCAAATTCGACTCCTAGATTTGAATCTACAATTCTGTTCCCTGAAAACCTATATCCTACGTGTTAAATTTTTAAGATCGTATGAAAATAGAAATATTTTCATGCTTCCTTCTTTTTCACGCCTGTAGGGAATCAATCAGGATCCTTATACTAGAAGTTTTTGTACGCTGAACGACCTTGGTAGGGTTGTCAGTAATTAAATCAAAAAATAGAAGATCAAAATGATTCTTCAATAAAATGCTGTGACTCAAAGTTATAGAATTGCATATTATACTTTGGGGGTAATTGGGGTTAGATCCCGTTCACTATTGTTGCAGATACACCCCACGAAATTGTTCCATTGTTACAAATAGCTCCCAGAGGGAAAATGTATTGTTACAAATAGAACCCTGAAAACGGTTAAAAAGTTTCACTCAGGGAGTCTACTCGCAACAACAGAACTACAATTATAGTGAGCTCAATTTGGCTGTAGTACGGGGGTTCTACTTCGGGTGGCACTAGGGGCACACCCCCAACACCCCTCTCTCTCTCTCATTTGCTACAGTACACTGGGCCCCACATGGGATTTTGAAATTTTAAAATCACATGTGGGACCCGGTGCACTATAGCAAATGAGAGAGGGGGTGTGGTTGGAGGTATGGTTGGGGGTGTGCCCCTATCATTTTCCTTCTACTTCTACCCCCAACCAACATGCTTTCCAAAATAAATAATAATAATTTACTGCATTATTCAAACTTACCAATAATCTCATCGGCTCAACAACAGCCCCTCGCATGCACGACATTTGAACACCCCCTTTGCACGAACTCCTACTCTCGTTACTAGGAAACTTCACCTTCTTTGTAACAGCTCCCCATGCTCCTTTGTCCTCGTTGCCATCCATTTCACGATCCTCAACCTTTCTCTTGTTTGAGCGCATCTCTATCACAGTTCTCTTCCTCTTGCCCTCCTTCACCGTGATTGTAATCTCCTTTCTGTCCTCAATGGCACTATTTCTCCTCTTCTTACTGTCACTTCGCGACGAGTACTCTACGAGACCCCAAAGCATTTGTTCCACCAAATGCTTCGGGCAATACCTTTCTCCAGGCTTTGCCGTTGCTTCGCAACGCGAGCTGTCACTGAGCATCGCGATGCAAAGCTTGGATGAAATTGAAGAAGCCATGGGTTTGAGGAGAGGAGGAGTAGTAAAAGGAATCGGGAAACGATATTTCCTGCAACGTGGATAGAGACATGGATGATGGCCCAATTTAAAGAGGCAACACCCTCTTGAGTTTTTGGTAACTTGGTTAATGGTGAGGCAGCAAATCTTGGTGAAATATGGTGAAATTATGAGCATGGTAAAAGTGTGCCCATTGTTCAATGGATTGATTGACAAAATCCTATAAAGATTCAATGCACCATTTAGTTAATAGAAGACGAGTTGCCTCTGGATACAAAACAAGGACTTGTTTATTGAGGAAGTAACACTTACATTCAACTATATGCAACATTTTAGCTTAGAATAGTTTGTTAAAATCATATTTAAGAAGTGACTTTCAAATTTATGAAGTAAGAAATATCAGAAGTAATTTCTTTTTCTTTGTTTCTGGAAAGTAGTGGAAATAGTATTTCTTCATGTTTTAGTCACTTTTTTTGTTTGGATAACAATTAAAAATATTGTCAGAAAGAGAGAGAGAAAAAGGATCTTTCGGGATTTTATTTAGAAATAGAAAATATCCATGTAATGGTAAACTAAGGGGCTTATTGGTTGAGGAGTGTTGATTCCGACTCAAATTTTTTCTTGGATTTCGATTTAGGGTGTTATTCATTTCTGTTGATGCACAGATGATTAACAGCGGGATTTAAGGCTGATTTTAAAGGAGTTAGGGTCACTTGATTTCCTTTAAAGGTTGATCTCCTAATAAGAAGAGATTCTTGTGCATGTGTAACACGTTAGAGGGTTGAAGTTGGGTTCTCAGGTGATTCTTCCGACGATCAAGTTAGTTATGATTTAAAGGGGAGAAAGGAACTGATATTGTTCTCTAAGTGTGCAGAAATTGGTTACCTTGGATCCCTGGCCCCTTTCATTCAAACTCGGGTGACCAAGTCCGAGTGAAATTGAACTTTATCGGTCAGTGTTTTGAGGCGCATTTATGAATGATCATTGATGGGTCACTACTAATGCAGCGTTTCTAACATCAGAAAAAATTGTGTGTCGGCATCGCCTTGGTTCGTGTTATGACACTAATAAGCCAAATGTTAATCTTCCAGGAGAAGCTGTCACGTGTCTCACTCCTTATGCCTAATCAGACGTGTTCAGAGCCTAGACAACTCATGTTACTCCCTCAGCCGACTCAATAGGTTAACAATTTGCATACTGACTAGAAAGGCGGTACTTGTTAGCCTACCCACTAGATCGATCCTATAAACACTCGCACTCGGCCTATTGTTCCAGCCAATAACTTGCGTAGCCAACAATAAAGACGATGTTTTTTGCTTTCAGCTGGATGGCTGGGAGGCAATGTGTCCTTGAACCCCCCACTGAGAACCAACTACTCTCACATTAACTGTCCTGATAAAGTCATTATTGCTTAACAAAATCATTATTGCTCTAGCCCTTATAATCTTTATTACTCATCGAATCCAGTCAGCTCCAAGCACCTACTGACTTTCTCAGAATAAATTACTGGATGACTCATCTTCGCTAGCAGCTGACACATGTTAGCCGTCTGTCGAGTCAGCTACCTTCTTGGACTCGGCTCAAGTTACCTATCTGCCCTTCTGATTCACTATAAAAGAAAGCCATGCAGCTCAAAATAACTCCCTGATTTTTTAGGATGCAACCTTAAAATATTCTTTATCATCCCATATTTTCTCACTCAAGTTCATATACTGACTTGATCGTCAAAGAAACAAATGAAGAACCCGACCTCTTACGAGTTCTTCGTGTGTAAGAATGTACAGTAGGCTCTTGGACCAGCTATCTAAAGAAGCTTGAGGACGCCAACCCAACACAAATCTTTAAATAAACCCCCTATTCGATAACTGACATCAACAGTTTAGCGTCTACCGTGGGGCCATCATCCTTCTTCGTTCAAAGATGTCTGGTTTTGAATGTCCAGGTCGATTCGTTAACCCACTCTTTCAAGAACCGTGTGCGAGCTATGTTACTCATGCCCAGTTGAAAGAATCTGCGTAGAGGATCTCTCAATCTTTCTAATATCAGTTTGTTGCTTTCACAAATGAGCTCCTCAGCCAGATTCCTCCCCAGCAACCTTCTTCATCATTTCCTCCACCTCTAGTAGGCCAACCCTCAGCTGTCTCTCCACCCCCGATGAGTCAACCGTTCGTCCCTCCTCCAACTGCGCACGCCACATAAGCTGGACAACAAGTAGACTATGCCGAATACATGTCTCACCTACCTCCCCAGCAAATTCGCTTTCTAACTCCTCCCCGACACTATCAGCAGTATGTGGAAGCAACGGGGGAGAGCCCTAGTTTTGGTCATGATGATCGAGAACACACTATGGGGGCGGCATCGCGTGGCCCTCGGAATCCTCGTGCTACTCTAGGACCATCGACCACAAATGTGGCATCTGGTTACGATTAGACCTTTCAACCAATTGCGGAGGCCATTGGGGGATACTCCCCTCGCGATAAAATCATGAATGCCACCTGTGGGAAGTTAAGATGCCTCACGTGGAGAAGTGTAAAGGCGAGGGAGATCCAGCTGAGCATGCTCAAAATTATTATGACATGATGACCATGTTGCAAGCATCATATCCAATCATCTGTAGGTGTTTACCCATCACTTTGATGGGTAGTGCCAAGCTATGGTGGAATTCCTTAGGGAAAAAGTCCATCCATAACTTCGATTTGCTCAGCCAGAATTTCATGCATCACTTCCTGGCAGACACCAAGCAAAAGCTGGCCCCCTCGTCTTGATGCAGATACGTCAAGAACCTGGAGAAAGCCTCAAGAACTACTTTAAGAGGTTTCAGACCAAAAGGCTAGAAGTCGACGATCCTGGCGGTGTAGTCGTCGTGTCTGCTATCGTGGTCGGCTTGGAGAGAAACAAGCTGGCCGATTCGCTCGTTAAGAAGTGGGTCACTAGCTACGAGCAATTGATGGCCAAGGTTTATGGGTACATGGGTGTGAAAGATGCCCGAGCCTACAAGAAGGCGACGAGGGCAGCTGAAGTAGCGAGAGCAGCAACAACAATACCGGCACCCGCAACAGAGGCTAACCCCTCTCCAATGAAGGAGGTAGCAAAGGATCCTCCCAGAATCGACCCTTAGCCGAACAGGGCTGACAGGAAGGATTGTAGGAGGGAGGTCCCCAAGAAGCTAGCCCTCACCACCTTCAACACCTCTCTCACGGAAGCTCTCTACATGGTCTAAAAAGAGGAGTACCTCAATTATGCTCCTCCTCGCATGAGCTCGGATCATCGATCCTAAGATACAAGGCAATATTGTCGATATCATCAAGATCACGACTATCTTACTAATGATTGCTGAGTTCTTCAGAGAGATATTGAGGATTTGATACAGAGAGGATATATAAAGAAGCTTGAGGATCCCAACCCAACACTGATCCTTAAATAACCCCCTTGTTCAATAACATCAACAGTTCCCGAATGCAGATTGCATGTCAATTAAAGGGATGGATGCTTCGTTCTAGAGTGGTCGCCTCAAATTTCA